TTCACGTAAGTAGTTAATTCTGTTACCAAAAATTCTAAAAAATACAGAAGCACAGTTTATTTTTATTTTCATTTTAAGTTCAAATTAACCTAACCATAAAAAAACCTAGAATAACTATTTTAGTTATTTTGTTGTGATTGTATAATATTATTCGTGGGCACTTGAAACTTCTAAAATATACTATTATATATCTATGATAGTATCACGGTTTTTTGTTGATGTATAACGCATTATAAGTACCTAATGGATATTGTGATATGATTAATTTGGAATTTATTATAGGTACCTACTACCTACTATAGGTCAATTTTTTTAAGTATATAGGTAATATGTCTTATATCTATAGACTGACATACCGTCTCCACTCAGAATTGTTTTTTTTTATACAATAATATTATATCATTTAATTCAAATGTAATACTATCCATTATACAGTGACCCACTTTTAAAGTTTTTGAATTATTTGCAATTTTAATTTTTTAAACCGTTTTAAATTTATTAACATGTCGATTTTTTCAATTTGCATCAATTTTTCAAACAGGGAATCGGTGTTCAAAAGAATGCCACTTTTTCCATTTAAAAATATATCAGAAAAACTCAGTTTAGAATTCGGAAAATGTTTGATAGTTGGTACCTATACCAGGTAGTAGTAATAAATAATTAATAATTTAGAAGGTCTCTATAGGTATTCAGTTTTAAAATAAAAACGTGCAACAATAGATGCAAAGTAAATTTGTTGACCAACTCAGAATAATCTTTTTCTTTATTTAATATCAAACAAATTAAATTACTTACACAGTTACGCACGACATTGTTTAAGTCATATTACCTATGTTATATTATGTAGAAGTTTCGTCCAAAATCGACTTTAAGTATCTGATAAATTCCTATATTTGATACAAAAAAGAAAGAATAGAAGGAAATAATTCCGTTTTATGTGATAATATTATAATATACCTATCAATGTTTGGTACTATATGCCACTATGGTGTTAATTTATTATAATAGTTTATTATTAATAAATGCCCTTATAAGTTGAAGAATATGTATGCCTATAGAAATAAAAATATATATTAGTTATTAATTATATTAAGAATGTAGATTACAACCCCATACTAAGTAATAAATTATTTGGAATAATACACGATTTCCTCTAAAAAATGCTAATTTTGGCCAATTTTGTTCTACTTTTTTAATTTAATAAAAACAATTAGAACATTTCTAGTTCAATTGCGTATGTTGGTTGATAGGACAATTAAATAGGTAGATTTAAAATTAAAAAAAAATGTTTTGAAAAGTTTGAAGATACATAAACAAATGCGTATGTATGGATTTGATAAAAAAAAATTAATTGCCCATAACTTAAAAAATAAGAAAGTTAGACCTAATCTTTAAAGGGTATTTCATCATAATTTTTGATATACTTACATATGACGCGTCAGATGGTCACTTCGCCCCGGAACACATATTGTATACATGTAGGATAGTATCTATAATGAGTAATGATGTAGGTACATATTAAAATGAAATCATTGGAAGTTTTGGTCAATTAGTGGTTCTCATTGAAAATTAAAAAGACCAGCCCCCGAGAAATTATTTTGTTCAGGGCTACGCAAAAACTAGGGCCAGCCCTGCGGCTGTACACACACTGACACGCTGTAGGTATTTACCGAGATGAGATCAATAGCGGAACAACAACTGTTCTCAACATATTTTGGTTTTAAATTCACTGGCTGGCTGCAGGAAAAGGTACCTAAGCTACCCATAAATTACCATGCGATATTCAAGGGAGTAAAAAAAAAACTGGGTGAACAATATTATTCGAGTCACAGAGACATAACTCAATAATTTCCCCTCGAGTTGCATATCAAAACATTATATAGGTAGGTACATTAGTACATTATAACTGCTGTTATATTCACACGTTGATGAATCTTTTTATTTTAATTATAAAATAATTTAATATAAACACTTGCCAAACAAAACTGTAAATACTAATTTGGCTTGTTTAGCTTAACGTTGCGCTTAAAAAACGCCTAACAATTAAAATAAATAGATGCATAATTTTATTGTTATTGAATCGGACAGCTATATTTTCCCTAAAACCACAATCGTAATATTAGGAATAAAAGACCAACTACAACAAAACCAATGTACCATATTAATTATTATATATGCGTAGGTACCCGATATCTATTTATAACCGAACAAAATATTAAATTATGAGTTCAAATAAGATTAATTTTTCGTAATCATATGAGTTATAGCATAATTTTATTTACATTTATCTGTAATTCATCAAAATAATATTAACTTTGTGTAACATAAAATACTAGCTGATCCCGTGCACTTCGTTACCAGTTAAAAACACCAACTCTAGGTATATGATTCAAAATTTGTGTTCAATTCGTCATTTAATTAGTGATGTTCAAAACTTCCCGTGATAAATCCCCGTGAATTTGCCCAAAGTTAATCTCCATTTTAACACAGTCATATAAAATACCTTTTATTTTTTATAACCAATATTAAATCTATAATAAACAAAAATATTTTATTATTTATTATTATTATTATTATTATGTCAATTATTTCTATAAGCAATATACAATAAAAAAGGGCCACTTGTGGAGATAATATAATAATATATATCCTATAGATCTTTATTGGGATATTGTAGCTTTCTAATGGTAAGAAAATGTTTAAAATCGGTTAAGTAGTTCCAGAGATTAACCCGAACAAACAATTTGTCTTCTTTATATATATTAGAATATAATATATTGCTCATAATATGTTATTATTTATTATTATATCACAGAATTCTGTGATTATATCTCTATTATATTATAAAAAGTCATGTGTATATATTTTTTATCATCCACATAATGTAATTGCTATGATAACCAACAAATAAAAAGATGCGATTATTATTACCTATATAAATAGTTAAAAATCTCTAATATTTGAAAAAAATGTATAAATATTTTAAATTACAGAATACAGGTATTACATTTCAAGATGTAAAAGGTCCTTTTATTCATGGGGGTGAAACGACCAGGAGGTCGGCAAGAGCATAAGCGGGGTTGGTGAGTGAAGCGAGCAAGCTGCAGAGCCCGTTTATAGTTGTATAAGTTATAAGTAATAACTATATTATAAGATGCATCTCAACTATATAGTTATAATATTATAATTTATAATATACCTAACAACTAATTCGTATTAATTTAGAACCGGCTTTGTAACCACGGTTAGCGTAAGTAGTCCTAAACATCCAATAATCATATTGCGTGTCCGTGGGCCATGACCCTAATTATTGTTTAACGAATCCACCGGATGCAATAAAAGAACTAATAAAACCCTATACAATTCGTACGGGCCGTTATAAATTGTATCCCATTTTTAATTTTTATGTAAATTGTGGCCTAGCTATGTTTTACACATATGTAAATTGCGGCTCGGGTATATTTTATATTTATGTAAATTGTGGCCTAAATATTTTTATTCTTACATAAATTACGTCTAGGGATATCTTTTCAAAATCAATATTTTCCTTCCCGTTTTCAGTCTTAGGACTAGCAATCTAATTGTATTAATATTTCCTAATGTGTACGGTTTAAAATATTGATTTTGTTGTTTATGTTGCTTATGATTAAAATATGTAGGTATTGAGTATTAAAAATTAGTTATGACGTAACTGGTAACTATTCCCGCACACTAAGTCTTAAGTATTTAGTTTTTTGTTGTTTGCAACTCATTCATTTTTTCTTGTATATACTATTTATGTTTCTTTTTCCATAATTGTTTTACCTTTTGTTTCATGGCATCTCAAAACTTATATAGATAAATGTATCACTTTGCATATTTTTTTTTTAATATCCCAGAACGCAATTCACATACAATAGTCCGATTCCAATGTAGGTATGTCAAGAAATAGAATTTTTAAAGAGTAAAACTACCCACAACGCCTATGAATAAGAGTAAAATATATGTTTTAAGGATTTTTAAACGAGAAGTTCTGTAGGTACCTATAAGGCTATAAAGGAATATAGAAATATTTCTAAAAATGTTCAAATGTAGGTACCTATAATTAATACATTTTTTCAAGATTTTTTTTATTTTATTATTGGATTAGCCGAATTTATCAGACGTAGGTTATATTGTTATTATAAAAGCAAACGGCGTAAAAATATTTACCTTGGAAAATTAGTCTCAATTATGCGAATGCGAATTAAAATATTTTTAAGTTATCAAATCTTCACCAATACTTTACAACTACACGTTTTAGTCGTTTACGCCCCATGTATAATTTTTACAGAAATAGTATTCGAGTTTTAGTTTTTTTTTAATATCGTGATAGGTATTATATTATATTGTTGAGGACGATACACCCGGCACCCGATGTCTCTCTGTCTTAAGTACCTACCGGATTCATATCATTGAAGTAGATATATTTATTTATAGTGGACATTAGAGAAAAATATTGACATGTTATCGAATTTTCAGAGGAAAATGTAAATTTCATGCCGGGGAGAAGAGTTTTTTTTCATATTTTTGTTTTTTAATGAGTTATAAATAATACTAATACAGTAATGTAAAATGTAAAGTAACAGTGTGTAGTAACAAAATTTAAATAATTCGTTAATTTTCAAATAAATATATGGAAAAAAAACTCTTCGATAATATGTAAATTTGCTCCGGTAGGTACGTAGATCTGTTATGTTACTCGTTTGTATAAGACACGAGAGGACAAGTTAGCTAACACATTAGCGTCCTCTTAATGCAGTGATTTCGGGTGTTTAATCCCCCCCTCTCCCATTAGCATTTTTTCCCTACTAAATGTTTTATTTATATACGAAAATTGTACAAAACTTGGTTTAATTTATACCAACCCCCCCCCCTCCCAATTTATTAATCCTGGCTACGCCACTATCTTAAAGTATAAAAAGTCTAAATATTATATCTACTATCTAGTACCTATATACCTATATATTTATATTTAACAGCGCCAAAAACAGTGGGACGAAGATCTAGGAAACCAGGATTGGATCGAAAACCAAGGCAAGCGTATAGTGCAAAACAGCTAGAAAGATTGGAAGCAGAGTTTAAAGTGAGTACATTTGTTTTTACCACGATATATTAGTCATCGTAGAATATATTGTCTCATAAAACCATCGCACTCTAACCAGAACAAATTTTTAATTTGTATATCCTGGACAGTAGGTATTCATTTTTTAAATATATTCAAGTAATTCAACTAAGGGCCATTCTTACAATGTCCGGTTAAAGTTAACCGACACTTAACCGGCTGAATTCTGCCGGTAATAAAATCTGTTATCAGTCGGTTAGCGTTAAACGACACTTTACCGGACATTGTAAGAACGGCCGTAAGTATTTAAATAATTTATTGTTTGATTTTTTTGGAATTAATATTTTATTACTAAATTAAAGTTTACATACATTTCAAAATATGCCACATATAAAACTCACAGTATCTATGAACAAGAGAAATGTATTTGTAGTTAACAATAATAGTTATAATAATTGTTTTTAATTTCTCACTTTATTGCAAAAAAAAAATATAAATAATTAAATGATTTTGTTAAGTTATGATTTCAAAAGGATCAATCTTAAACACTATAATAAATTATCAACGGAGTTTATTATATATATTATGGTACACAAATACTTTTCATTTTTCAATAATAAAATATAATGAATAGAAAAAATATTTACATTTTTAAAAATAAATAATTGATTATTTCCTCGACTTTTCCTTAATGCAGTCTGTTGATAAAAAAAGAACAAGTCATAATCCTCTTAAATTCAAAGTCTATCGCAAAATAACCATGCTATTTTAAATTTTTATATTAATGTTTAAGTTTTAAAGCACTCAAAATGTATTAAATCTTAATTAATGATTACATTATAAGATTAAATGTTGGAATAATTGATGATTTTAATATCTTGTATAAATATGATGTTAATTAAACACATATTCTAAGGAGTTTTATTGTTTTATTCAACCTTTATACCGATAACTTCGTATTACAATTATTATTATTTATTACTCAAATATACGGTACCGGCAATCTCAGGGGGAAGGTAGGCAATACGTTATACACTTATGTGAAGCGTTATTATACACTTTTCTTTTTCCGTTCCCAACTTACATCACCAACGGGCAACGGCGTTTATGAAATTTGAATAATATACTTAAAAATAAAAATATACTAAATAGTAAAACAAATTAATGAACGAGAAAAACTATGGTAACTAGAGTACCTACCTAATAAATTGTTGGTATAATGGATATGGTAATATCAACAATCATTTACGTGTTTCATATTATTTATTATGATATATGGCGTTAAGTCGTTCTCTATTACGAGGGATCGGATAGACTGAAAAATAATCATCGCCATTATGTCTGCAAAATGCGAATAGATAAATATAAAAATACAAAATAACTTATTGGTAATTGGTAATCAACTTCAGAAAATGCATTTAAAATATGATTCAAAATATTATGACGAAATATGTAATAATGAACACGTCTTATTTTATTTGGGGTGTTATGCCAACTTTAATTAGAATTAAATAAATTAGCATTCAAAAAAATAATCTATATAGTTACATAAAAAATGACGACCTAAATTGTATAATAATATATTAATATAATACGGTCGGGCCTTCTCCTGTATTTGCAGACGGACAAGTACTTGAGTGTGAGTAAGCGCATGGAGCTGTCCAAGGCGCTGAACCTGACCGAAGTGCAGATAAAGACGTGGTTCCAGAACAGGCGGACCAAGTGGAAGAAGCAGCTGGCGTCCAAGCTGAAGATTGCGCACCGGCACGGTTACTTTCAACCGGTGCAGCACTACGCGTCGCTGTTCGCGCCGCACTGTTACTTTCCGGCGGCTGCTGCGTCTGCCGCGAGCTCCCCCCCGTCCGGTACCGCGGGTGGAGTTCAGAACTTCGGTTGCGGTTTACAGCCGCAGACGACTTCGGCGGGGCGCGAGTCAGCGGAACACAAGACTGTCGTCGTCGAACGTCCAGTCGCTGCCAAAACGGAACGGCAACACCATCACCACCAGCACAATCACCAGAGATAAAATATTATTTTCTTGTATTTATCACATTTCCACGTCAACGTGCGTACCTGCGGTGCACCTATTGTCTATCTATAATTTGTTGTTATAACGTCGTATAGGCTGCTAGGCATACCTACTAGCTATTATCTACCAACTATATTTTGGATTTGTGTAACACTGAACACACGCACAACAACAGCGATAATAAACAATATGATAACATAAACTGATTTTGTCATTATTCAGCCATGATCCATGCAGGTCAGGTGCCTACTCAGGTTCGCTCAAGTGCCATGTAATATAATATTATCGTCGCTTATTGAAAACCATCATTCGGCTAATCTCAACATTTCGAATCCGAGTTATATATAGGACTTTAAGACGCGTAAGACCGTGTTAATATAAAATAGTTTTGAAGTTGTAACGATACCTACAAATGTTCATTGTTCAGTATGTTCAATTGTTCTGCACTGAGCAAAATCAAAATGTTTTAAAAGGTCTCTCTCGTAAATATTTGGGTACTAAAAAATAATTTTCAGATAGCCTCATAATATTAAACGTTTTCAAGTTATTAATTGTTCAGAGGCATACCTATATTGCCTTTTGGCTATATGTCTGTATAACTATCGAAATTCCTGACAACAAAACACACTTTATTTATCCCTTCTAAAAAGTTGGATAAACTGATTGGGTTGTGATGGTTCAGCGACGATATGTGGCGAGTGTTTACCGAATTAAGATATACCTTAATTCGTGGTTATAACTTAAAAATAATATTAAAGTTTTATACGAGGTGAGTTAGGTAGACCTTTTTTTTCCGAGTTAATCGAGAGACGGGGGAGGAACCACTTTAGCATAAACCTAACCTTGATGGCTTGATGATTGCCTACACTTAACTACATAAGGCTGTTGAAAGCGCTGGTCGTTTTTTTTCGAGCATTTTGACTAAAAAGCAGAAGAAAAATAATATACTTCTAGAAGTCCAATTTTAATTCTGAAAAAATATTTAAATTCCTTATTATATTTTCTAGGTTATGTAGGTAACGGGTGTATAGGCCAATCTCTATATTATCCCATATATGATATAGGCATATAGCTAAACTGTTGGACTCACTTGTCCTCCAGAGTATTCAACCATGTGTGAACTGATTGATGCACAACATGGCTTCAGACCCGGCCGCTTCTCAATAATGAACTCTATGATCTTTAACAATTATATCTTTGGGCCTTTGAAAACAACCTCCATGTAGAAACGATATTACGGACTTGTCAAAGGCCTTTGACCGTGTAGACCACTCAGCTCTTGTCCAAGTTCTTTACAAGACAGGCTTTGGCGATCCTCTCTTGTCCTGGTTCAGGTCTTATTTATCCGGCAGGTTACAATGGATCAAGACCAATGTTCATAAATCATCGGTTACTTTCGTACCGTCCGGTGTTCCACAAGGCGGCCACTTATCACCATTATTATTTGCCTTATTCTTAAATGGCCTGAAACAAATCATACCTAACTGCAAATTCCTTGTTTTTGCAGACGACCTCAAGCTGTTCCTAAAAATTAAATCTATAGATGATTGTCACTTACTTCAATCTAATTTAGACAATGTGGTTTCCTACTTATGTTCACTAGGACTGAGTCTTAATGTGAAGAATGTCTAACTATGTCGTTCACTAGATGTCGATCCGTTATCCCCTTCCAATACAAGATTTATGATTCTTCGCTTGTATCAGTCATGAGCGTGAAAGACCGAGGTATACTTTACAATCCTACTCTCGATTTTCACTCCCACATCAAATCCTCGTGTTGTAGGGGCGTAGGGCACTAAAAGTACTAGGATTTGTGAAGCGAATAGCTTCCGAATTCAATCTTGAATCTTCAATAAAAGTGCTTTATTGCTCCTTAGTTAGATCTATTGTAGAATATGTCTCCGTATTATGGGACCCGCATACTACTTCTAGCTCCCTTCAACTAGAGCGTGTGCAAAGAGGTTTTTTATAGTTCTCTGCCTATGTACTTAAGATGGATCATGGCCCTCATGACTACTTCCCGGGGTGCTCACTGAACTACACCTAACTTCACTGGTTGATAGAAGAGAAACTGCTATCTATCATTTTTAAGTAAGCTCTTGGACGGATCAATAGACGCCCCCACTCTTCTCTCCAGTATCAATTTTCAAGTACCACAGCGTTCCCTCCGTTCTTATACAACCTTCTCAATCCCTAATTGTTCCACAAACTACGGCCGTAATAATCCTATGTATCGTATGATGTGCATAGCTAATGAACAACCGTCATCCCCTATTTAAACAAATCTTATTGTTATAATTGTTATTTATTGTTCTATTAAAAAATATAATTATTAATATTTAAATATTTAAATGTAACTATATACTTAATGTACTCATGTAATGTAATTGGGCTCTGCCCGTAATGTTTGAAATAAAAAAATAAATAAAAAATATACCTAGTTGACACATTGTTTAAAATTGATTAAAATTAATTATAAAATGACACCTTTGAATTACATTTGAATTGATTTCATACAATTATTTTACACAATTTTAAAATGTATTTAGGTAAAAGTATTTCAAATCATTTTCAAAGATAACTTAGAATGTAATTTATTGTTTTCCTTATTGATATAGGACGTACATTAAGGCATTAACTCGGATTAACTATTAAGCACTAACCATTTTGAGTTATCTAGTTAGCTAAGGCTTTATATTGAATTATTGTTGTTTGCCATTCTACGATTTCCATACATCGATCAAGACAGTTATGAACATAAGATATTTAACAAATATTTGTTTCAACTGTGATAGGTACTATTTGAGGGATATGCGTGTACATCAAAATAATAACAGTTTCCGTTCAGTACCTATTGTAAAATATTGTCCCGAATCTTGCATTACCATATAAATATGTAATATAATTCTGTACCTAACACTCTTTTAAAAACAATTTCAGAGGAAATTATTTTCTTATTCCTGTCTCCTGATGAAATTTCCTGAATACTGGACTCTTCCATAATCAATATTGTTCCGAAAAAATACCCTAAATTCTTGAATGTATTCAGTATTGTGCATAAATAGTACACTTCTCGTTTTAAAATATTCTAATATTAATTCCTTCGGTTGAAATCTTCTATTAGTTGATAATTCTTTATTTCTCCTATCAAAAATAATATTTTAATTTATGCCCACAGATTATATTATATAAGGGTTTTATAATTTAATACAATACATTGCGTTATACATTACTATATATTTAAAGTGAGTATAATAAGTGATCAGCGTATTATAATAATGTAGTTGCAACACTACAGCAACATTAATACAAAATAATCAGTTTATAAAAATAGTATGGCAAAGTTTGGTGTAATAAAATTGTTTACAATTAAAGGCATTTTATGCAATTAAAAGTGAAATAGTATCAGTGTAAAAATACATAACCTTAATAAAATAACTATAAATGTTTAGCAATACAAAATCAAAATATGGTTATACTATTTGTTTTAATTAGTCTTTCTAGGTACTACTTAATTTTGTATAAACAACTCAATAGTAAAAAATATATCATTTTTTTAAAACAATACGCACAAAAAAAATTGTGCAGTTTAACAAGATAAAATTTCTTTTTATATAATAAATTTGTTTAACTCAATTATATTAATAAATACAATTTTATGTTTAAAAATTCAAATCAATACAATTGTCACACACATGCACTAATAACTAAACGCATATGAAAAGGCCAGCATAAGACCGCAACATAAATATATATACAAATTGTTTGAACAATTAATGAGGAGAAAAAAAAACAATACATTATATAAATATAGTATATAATTAAATACTTAAAAAATAAGAGTCTAGGACCAAGGTCTAGGCACAAACTCGTTATTATTTAGCCTTTTTGTGTACAACCCAACCGCCAGTGTACGTACGCGCAAAGTGACCAGTTCTGCGTAAGCGGCCTGCAAAAGTTAAAAATAAACAATTAAACATAGACAAAATAAATTATATGGTCCCAGATAATAATCCAACCATCACCAAAGGTTTACGTTTTAATTTTAATAGCAGCAACATTGAGCAGCAGCAACTCTACAGTATACATGAATTTAAAAAGCATTATATTATGTATGATTATTGAAATACATAAAAAAAAATTATAAATCAAAGCATTTAAGGACTTACCAATAACGACGTACAACAAAATTATATGATTATTTGGGTGACTAAGGTATTTATTGGGATTTGGCGAGGAAATAGAAAATAAAGGTATCATTTAATCTTTCAAAAGCCAATTTTAGCAAAATGGTAATTTTAACATTACTAGATTATAAAAAATCAAAATATTATTTTATTTCTTATTGGATTTACTCATTAGTCGCAACTATCAGCATGTTTAAAAATTCATCTTTTATATTCATGACACTTTTTGAAAGTGGGCTTTATCAAATATTAAGTGTTACAAATATTTTAACCAGAATATTTATCTAGTTCCAATCTTTTAAGAAATGTCATGGGTTTATAAAATATATTTAAATCATACTATACACACACACACACATATATATATATATTATTTATAAATGCAATATGCATGATGTACATGTATGTGTATATAATATATAATATACCCAATTGACATTTAAGAAAAAGTTCAAAGGATTATTCTTAAATTGTCAGTCACAAATAAATTGTAAAATAATCTATCAACCATCACAACCACAACATTTTATTTCATCATAAATTTAATAAATACCATTGAGGAAGAAAATGTGTAATTTAAGGGTGTACTATTAAGATTTTTTTAAGCATAATAAATTAATAAAAATATATATATAGATATTGTTCTAAAGGAGGATACAAAATGAAATCGTGTTTCGTGAAAATATAAAGGCATGCAATGTTAAATAACAGTATAAACCTACTTTTGAGTTATTAATACACTCTAGAAGCTATTAAAATGCTTTAAAAAATTATATAAAAATGTTGTGATAAAAGTTATTGATTTAAAAAATAACTTAATTGTTTGGAATTTTACCAATTTTTTTTTTAATAAACACCAAGAATAACTATAAAAAATTGCTTGCAATTAAATCAATATAAAAGCGTTTTCATAAGCACAAGCATAGATAATATATAAGAAGTATCTTATTTGTTTTCAATATTATTAATGTAAATATACCTAAATAGTGTACGTAGCCAAAATATGTAATTTATGCGGAGTTTGCGCCCACACGGCTCTGACGTACTGCAAAAGAGAAAAACACCAAAAACCAAATTCAGATTATGGTTTACACAAACATTTTGCAGTATTACCAATCACCAAAGGTTCAATGGTTCTTGATAACACGCGATCTGAATGAAAACACAATGCTTTCCTTCAGTCAACATGCTAAAATTTATGTGAATATTTAAAAAACAAAACAATGTTAAATAAACACCATGCGTGTTATTTATAATTGTATTACTAAGTATTATTAGTTTCAAACACTATTGTTACTTATCCTAAATAGTAGTAGCTTAAAATAAATAGTATGTAAATTAAGTAGGTAAATTAAATATACTTAAATATATTTATTATTTATACAAAAAAGCATTAATAAATTATTTATAGTTATTGTATTTACCAGGTACGTATACAGGGGGTGGGGGGTTAACCCCTCCCCCTAGTTAAGTCATTTAGTTATACATAGACTGTCAACCTCTCCCCCGATTTTTTTTTTGTATAGGCGCCTGGTATACACTATTATTAATTTTAAAACATAATTATTATAGACAATTCATATAAAACTCTTTCTTTTTGTCTTTTTACAACTTTTTAGAAGTTAAATAATTTAAAAAAAATTATTTGCACTTTGGTTTTTGTTTGTTCATATCAACAATTCTTCAACTATTGAAAGACAAGAATTTATTGAAATGTGCAATCTGTATACATTTAGTTCAATAGTTATAAACTAATACATGTAGAAAAAAGATACAAAGACAGAGCCACAGTTTGGAATATTGTCTAAGCCATCCTGAATTGATTGAGGGGTGTGTCAATTTTCATTAATTCAAATATTAAGAGGATGTTGGCACAATATTTATTATCCCTCTCTAACCTATGCGCAACATATCAAATTTACGTTCAGCAGAACCAATTCTAATATGTTATTAATTTTAGTATTAGAGTGAATTCACCTATAATCAAACTTAAAGTTAAAAACACTATAATATGTGTTCTTATGTCAGCATTTTTACAATATTTAAATTTGAATGTTAATTATTAGTATGGAATGTGTGACAATTTAAAAATACTTTAAAATTTAAATATTGTAAAAAATCTTACATAAGAATACAGATAGTCTTCTTAACATTAAGTTTGATAATAGATAAATTCACTCTCATACTAAACCTTACAACACAAAGTAGATTCTGCTAAACATATATTTGCCATTTTGCGTGTGGGCCAGAGATAAAAAACAAATGGTACACTGATATTCTCTTAAGTAGTTAAGTATTATTCAAGTTATTTTGATTATATTATACTGTGATAAAATTATCTGTGAAATATTTGAACCAAAAAATGTAATTGGTGTATGGTCCAGCTCTTTTTAAAATTTCGCTTAAATTACCATTTTCAAATTAATTAATGAGTCAATACATGATTTAACATCATACGAAGATTAAATTCAAAAAAATAATTATAAATTATTGGTATTGACAATACTAAAAAAAGAATTAGAACTAGTCAAATTTGATGTATTGTAAAATATTTCAAGGTTAATGTGTTATCTCTCACTCTAAAACACGATTTCATTACAAATTAAAATGCGAATGGCTAAAGTAATACATTATATCAGTTATATATTATCTAAACATTAAGAGCTGGTAATTTCATGCTATTCCTTTTAAGTAGTAAAATTAAACAACACAAAATGTCAAGACCTCAATAATGTAATCCGCCGATCATTTATTTGATCAAGTTCTTGCGGTGCTTCTGGGGTGTTTTTCTAAAGAACCTAAATTTCATTTTCAACGGCGTGTCTTTTCTTACTGAAGGCGGAAAATAAACAAAAATAAAAATCATTAAACTAACGTCATTGATTGAGATAAGGATAACAAATTGTAAGGAATATTAATTTAAAAATGATTTATTAAATTTTGGCATTCAATTTGAATATTGATTAATGAGGATTAATGTAAATGAGCAAACATAATTTTTGAGGTTAAAATTCAATATAAATTCAAATAGATAGGAACAACTACATTTCCTAAAAAGGCAATTTCACTTTTAACTACTAAACATATTTTTTAAGAAATATCATCACTCTGTAGGTATGCAAAGGATATGATAAATAAATATTGCAATAAATTACATATTTGTTTTTGTATGAAAAAAATGGAATATTTAAAAACAGAATAGAGGTTAAGTCTCAGGTCAGCTGAATTTCAAACAAAAAATATGTACACGATTAAAACACAAACTGAACGACAATGGAAACATACAAATATTATTCAGTTGATACAATTTCAAAACTCGATTGATTATTGTGTCTAGTTTCAGCCAATTTGAATTTAGCTTGAACGCCAAGACGGCAATCTGATGATTGGCAATATTTGATAAATGATTGTAAACAAAATCACAATAAAACAAAAATAAATATTTTGAATGACCTTTTTGGGCACTAATAGAGACCATGCATTTACATATATTTTAACTTTTAGTGGTTCATGTATAGAAAAAAAGAATAAAATCAACACAGATTAATAAAGGAATAAGGGAACTTGATAAAACATGATCGGACATCATACCTGGAACTAAGATGTCAACAACACATAAGCCTCTACTTGACTTAATACTTAAGCCAAAAATTGAATGATTGAGGCTCAGAACTATTCATTTCTAATAGTAATAATTCTTATAAATAGTTTTAACATTATAAATTGTTAATTAATAAGTAAAGAAAATAACATTATTAACCTATAAAATAGAAATAGAGATTTTAAATGAATATTGTTGATAGAAAAAAAAAATTAATAATTATTTATTCAATTAACAATCATGAAAAATGGGAAATGCAATAGTCTGTCTTTTGTTATAATACAAGACTAAATTGATATAACAATAAAACCTGTAATCAAATAATATTTGACGTTTATTATAAAAAAACTGTGTGGGCCGAATAAGGACAAGTTAACACTAATATTTTACTCTATTTCTACTATTTCTATATTGTAAAATTAAAATTAATTTTTTCATAGTGAAATTTACAAGATCTAGTTAGTTAAAACTTAAAAGTTACAAAACCAATATATTATCATTTATTGATTAATAATCATGGCTGGACATTTTTAAATATAAATAACCATAATCCCTAAATATCAAAATTTAAAATGATCTTAAAAAAATATGTTATTGATTTATTTTTAAATAATAATAACCAGCTATTATAATTTGATTTTAAAAATTTTTAAGTTAACTTACTCCTGTCAATATTGCGTTGTAAATGTGATGCAATGCGATGACGAGCATCATTGTACTCCAAATGCAAACCGAGTCTAAGAATGGTTGGATTTTGTTCAATCAACTTGGTAAGTTCCATTTCTATCTTATTTCCCAATACTTGGGATCTCTGAAAATAAAATAATTAATTAAAAATGTATCTAGAATTATTATTTAAAATTGATAAAAAAAAATGTACCTGGTTGGTGGCACGGAATTCTTCTAAAGATCTCTGTTTTAATAAGGACTTGACTAAATGAATTATTCCTATAGGGCTAATGAAATTTGTTTCCACACTAAAAGAATCAAAAAAAAAAGTGTGCAAAATTCACATTTATTAATTTACTGTAATAATTATGACCATATAACTATGATATTTGGTAAAAACAGAAATTTAGTTATTGTATTAATATCAATCTTACTTGCAAACGCGTAATGTGCAATTTTTTTCTAATGCTTCAGCAAGCTTGTCTGCTAACCGATCAGTAAGTCCAACATTCACCAAACTTAATGTTTCTAAATGAGTATTTTCCACTAGAGCATTGAATAGATTCTCAAACTTTTCATCAGAAATATTCTAGAACAAGAAATAATATTACATTACTTTACAATTACTAGACATATTACTTAACTTATCATACTAATGATATACAGTGAACTCACATTTACTCAAATCAGTCAGGGACAAAAAAAAACTGTATGCACATATTGAAACTGTATTGCTTAGAGTTATCAAAAATTTGACTTATAGACGTTTGAGTTATCGAGGTTCCACTGTATATATTTATATATTCAAAGAAATAAATAAATAATGTACTTACTTTAATGTTGTTCCAATTGAGATCAAGTAGCTTAGAATCATCATCACGTACCCGTTTAATACTGTCTTCTGGATCTGTTTGATTGGGTGGCTCTGGGGGATAAACCTTAGGCTGTGTTGCCTTGGTAACACCGTCCCATCCTAGGCCAATTGGCTGACCTTTATTTAATAGTGAAGCATGGTATTGATCTTGGTTCATCATTGAATGAAATCCCAGTATAGCTAAAATTAAAGTTTAATTTAAAAAACCAATTTTAATTACATAGTATACTTAAATATTAATTTATAAAGTAGGTATGTTACAACTTGCAAGTTACAAGACGTACAGAAGAGGGACATTTAATTGGTTTGTCATTGAATGAACTCAATGATCAATTAATATTCATAGATATATAGGTTACAGAAAAAAATATATTAATACCAGCCAAATCTATGATTTCTTCTTGTGATGCGGTATTTAATGCATCACCATATTCATCATCAATATCAATGGCAATTTTATCTTCATGTTCAGTGTTACCATTGGTTTCAGGTGCCACCCACTATAACAAAATTAGTACAGAATAATCATAATTAAAGATTTAAAAATAGCTATGAAAATAGTTACTAAGGTCGTCATAGCATAAAACTAAGTTAATTTTGTTTATACTTTATATTACACTACAATTTCACAATGCTTTCAAATAAACAAAAATACCGATAAAAATCTGAAGGATAATGGACAATTTCTTTAGGAAAATTGCCAAAACTATACTAAATTCATAACTTAAATTCATTCTACTGTACCTAATTATTTAGGAATTAGTTTAATAATTGTCAAACCTATACTTTTAAATTACATTTATAAATGATTATTAATATTTTCACTCTTAAAATAATATTTATAGTTAAAACCTTGATATCATGTTATACAAACTTTCTCTAAAATTAAAACAGGAAATAATAAAAGAACCTATCATCTTATTGATTTTATAATAAACTCTAAAGTGTACAAAATATAGTATTTGTACTTTGAGCTGGAGCTCGGACGTATTATATTGCAATGAACTACATTTGCAAATTTACCATTTTTTTTATGGATGACCTGTGATATATTAATAATATATTTTTGTTTTATGACATTGGGATTCAAAATACAGTTTTGTTGACATGTATGTGTTACTTAATACCTAGTAATTAAAAAAAAAAAAATGTAGGAGCATATTTTAGAGGTTCATAACAAAATCTAAATCTGGTTAACATATTTTGTTCACAAATTTTAAAATAGTTTTATTATCTAAAATAAGTTTTATTTACAAAATTATCAGAGAAAAAATTGTAAATAAGTGTCAACATTTTATTTTTATACCTAGTTTAAAATTTTTATATTACCTATTTGTTACAAAAGTAGCTGTTTTAGAGTGCATATAAATCTAGGGTCAAATAATATGTACATGGCTAAATTTATTATTTATATTTAAATTAAATTAATAATAGTTTATATTAGGTTATACAATTCTTCTATGAAATTATTTATTTAGTTACTCCCTAGATTCATTTTTTGGTCAAAAAAATAATTAAAATTCTTTAGCAGTCTTGAGAACTGTTTATAGGTACCTTCTTAAACATTTTTGTTTTTAATAATAATTATTACTTAAATCACCTTAAATAACCTAATCGCTCTCCATTTAGAATATAAACAATACAATTCCACTAAAATAGTTTTTAATACCTAATGTAAAATACGTTTAGTTAATAATTACCTATCTAATGAGTATTAAAAAAAAGAAAGATTCAAAATGTAAATAGGTACCTCAATTTTAAATATCTACATAATAATGTTATATATGGAATTAGGTACTATAATATAAGGTATTTATTTGTATAGTTATATACTAATTTAAAAATTAAAGTATTCAAATTAATTAATTTGTTAAGTTATTTCATTTTTACTAAATAAATATTTCTTTAACCCACTTTAAATATATTCTGGTGTAGGTACTGTGATCTTACCTTTTTCCCTCGTACAGTTCCAGCAACATATGGTTTAATTTCTGGTAGATCAGGCGTTTCTAGAGCCTGTTTGTTAATATGTTCAATCAGTTTTTTTCTGTTTAATGGTCCTGTGGCTTCTTTGTTACATTCATAACTACAACGCTCTGATGGTGGTAATAAGTTGTCCTAAATAAAAGAAAAAATGCTGTTAATTGTCTTAAGCTCGGTACTAAGTAACAGTATCAGATCTACTATATAAACCGGGGAACAACATAATATAAGCGCCCCCATGCTATATGCTTTAAGAGTTTAATATTTGAAATTTCTGCCCCTCTATGATTAGCGCCGGGGGAAAAGGCCCTGGAACGCCCTCCCCCCCCCTAGATCCGGTACTGCTAAGTATAAACACAAATTGTAACTGATAATATAATATATATTTTACATACGAAGAAATTTAATAGTTAAACATCTCTTTAAGAGCAGCAACCTACCAAAATTAAAAATAATATATTAATCAAGTAGGTAATCAGTAAATGAATGGTAACATTCACACATTGTTTTAAGGCATAAATTTGAAAGTTAAATTTCAAAATACTAACATATACATTTGGATGTCTATTTGATAATATAATTATATAGGTAGCATTTAATATGGAAGAAGCAATCATCATATTTTATCTAAATGTCACTAATGATCATTGATCACTAGCCACAGTCCACAGGTGTTATATTATAAAATTGTGACAAATAATTCAATGTGGACAAATGTGCTCAATATGGAAATTTAGGTACTTACATCTGGATCGACTTCTTTGGCCAAAATGCTGATTTCTTCGGGTGACAATTGAGAGAGAAGTTGGTCGACGTCGAGCTCGTCGTAATCGCTCAGGTTCTTGCCGTACAGCTTGGCCGGAGCGGTGGTCATCGTAGTGGTTTTTTTCGACGACGTCTGTGGATAACAACAGAGAAGAGCAGATTATTAATGAGGCTGTAAAAAATGCACACGAGAAGCGCTAAAACGGGGCGGGAAAAAATCGGGTGTAGGTAGGTTGTGACAATAACAAGCGGTTCACGTCAAACGGACGGGTCGCGATTTGTGACGGAGGAACCTAAAAACGACAATGCGAAAGCCGTTTGAAACTACGAGCGGGGTCCACACCCTGGTGCGAAAAAAAAAATCAATACGCTGCGGCCCCAGCGGATCTAACCACCTCCACCAAATATACTACGGCGATTTGAAATAGGCTATCGGTTAAGCGAGAGCAGTTCGGTGACAACCGTACACGTACCGATTTGTTTGACCTGACGGCAAAATCGAATATATTTGCCGTTTCGTTCTCGACCGGTGACGACTGACGAGCGGCACGACTGGCTGACGGCTGTTTCGACGACTGACGAGCTGATTACTGGAAGGCGACTGGAGGACTGGAGAGAGGTGAGTGGAGGACGAGAGTTGAGAGACGTCGGTCGCCACCAGTCGGCGGTGGTGGGAAATTGTTATCAAATGACATCATTTGTCGGTACGGCGGCGGTGTGGTGGAAAGGCCGATTGGCAGCGGTGGAGGGGACGCGCGCGCACAATTTATATCAAACCGGTGGAGATCGCAACTGAACGCATAGTATGCATAATATTATTATACCATGCCTGTTATTATTGTTATTATACTATTTACATTTTACACAATAAGCATAGCCGTAATATTAAGTCATTAACACATAGTATAATAGTGTGCCGTGTAGAGCCATGTGGGTACTTGTCCTACAAACAGTATAAACTGTTAACTCGTGTGCAGAATGCGATACACCAGTGATTCAGTGCAGACTGCTGAGTGTACACCTCTTTCGAATTGAACCCACGTTTATCCAACACCTCGCAAAAAGCAATTCTATCCTACGAATTAAGAGTCAAATTCATACGACGAAAATACGAAATACGATTTACGAACGCGAAACGCAAGAAGTATTTTGTCGTCTCGCGAATCGTTTTTTGTAATAATATTGTATCGATGTTATTCGCCCGGGATTACCGTGGTCACCGGTCGACGGTGACCGGCTAGGCGAAAGATATTACAATATTTATTGTGTTTGGGTTTAGAGGCTTCCCCCTTCTACCACTCCCCCTCATATCAATCTTCCCGTCGTCATCTTTCGTTCCGCAGGTCGGTCGCACGCGCGCCTCCAACGCGTCCGGTGCGCGTAGGTATATAATATGACGACGACGACGAGGAATAAGTACTTACGTAATAACTAATAAGTAATAACATATAGCATTATTATGTATGTCTATAACAGGTAAGTATTATAGTCGGTAGCTTACTAGCCTAACCACCGCCACTACGACACTACAGTTCGTCCGTTCATTGGCGTGCTCACTGCTCAGCCATTGGATAATATTGTAACAATAACGGGCTATATAATATTATATAGCACTATAGCGGTAATGCGGTATGCTATGGTACATTATATTATGTGTGACACACATAGACATAGGTACGATTATCGGATCATCATTTGCACATAGTCTGTTTACCTGCTCCAAAATATCGTACATATTTTGTGCATCAACATATTATTGAACATCAATAGAAGGGTTAAAATATTGAAAAGTATGATAGTTGTAAAATATGTAAATGCTAAAGGTAATACATAATAAATAAAATTACAATTAAATTGTGATATCTATGTTGTCTATATCTATATATCAATATATATAAGATATTAAGATATTAAGAGTCAATCGTCCAATTCAGTTTTAAAGTCATGTCATTATAATATACGAAAGTATATATTTTTAAGCAGGAGTACCTGTAGGGTATGCACAATATTTGAAAATTGAACTTACTATCTAAATCTAAGATCAATCCTCTTGGTAATTATTGATAGGTAACTAATAAAGTCCCCGACAGTAATATCACAGGACGCACTGGACACAGAAAAGTTACATAATACTATTATAGAGTAAGCAGTAAGAACTGAGAAGTATACAAAATATTATTTTTAGATACTTCATTAACTGCAAACTACACTAACTGTGCGCGAACTCGTTTCAGTCCGGGTACAAAGTACATTCTACATGTCTATAAAAAAAAATATAGGTGCATCTACATTTCCACACGCTGGTCCCTCGATTTGTTTTTAATGAAAGGATAGTACGAAAGAACGAATTCTGAAAAATTATATTAGCATAATTGAGTTTGAGTACAAAACTGCAAAGCAATAGTAACGAATAATACTATATTATACTAATAATTTATGTATGAACTGATCATTCAAAGTATGAATTTCCAACTCAAAATGATTTGCGAATTTTCATGATTTTTATGTGTTTTTCCAAAATTCGAACTTTAAATGCTTATAAAAAAAAATTGTGATTGTATTTTTAATATTTATCAACTGTCTTCGTAACAATGTATTAGGTGCCTTGTATTAAATTAAGCTTCTTGACCCAACGAATAAAATGTTAGCTATAGACATTTATAGAAAAAAAAACCAAACAAAAATTAGATACTGAAAATGTCCGTAAACATTTCAAAACAAGTCCAAATATAATAATGGTGTATTGAAAATACTAATATAAACATCCAATGTAAATTGCATGTATTTACTGTAATTTGTTTTAGAGTTACACCAAAAACTAAAATCGATTTTGTCAAAAACCAATTTTGCGTACAAATTCCAGTTTTTCCTCAATTTGTTTTTTGTTTTTCCCGGTGCTTTTGAAAACTACTGGAAGTTTTTTACTTTTGACCCCTCAAAGTACCAACTAGATTCACTTACCTATAAGAAAAAATGCTTTTGAAGAAAATCAAAGCATTTATTTTTATTGTCCTAAAAAGTGACGACAGAAAATAACAAAAAAAACACACATCATTGTAAAACCAATACATTCAAAGCCCAGAATCTAAAACTATTATTTATACAGAGTGCAGACTTGTATAACAGATTTTAGTTTCTAGTTCAAATTTCCATCGTTTTATAAAATATGTATAGACATGTAATCGCATATGTATTATTTTACCTGTAACCAAGCATTTACTTATAGGCGTTCAAGGTTTCTAACATTAATTTTTTCGAATGTCAAACTTTTTTCATGAAAAATAGTATGTTTATTACATCAATACAGTGTAAAATCTTGAATTTAGTCCAAGCGCAAAGGTATGTCTACCATAATTTAATTTTTACAGATTTTTTATTCATATCAAGTATTTAATATAGCTTCCTACTTAATTAGTGATTACAATAAATATTTAATCGTAGTTTATATCTTGTAACTTATAAGTTATAACTATTTAAACAAATAGAAATGTAGAAAATATTGTTAAACAAAAAGTAGTGGTGGATCTTATTAGTCCTATAAGTACCAGTCGTAGAAGGGGCTAAAGTCTAAACTATTCATAATAATAGATTATTTTTTGTATAATATAGCCATATATGTAGGTACTTAAACTTAATATATTATATAAGATGATATTAATATCATCATAATAATACAAATATATATAGGTATTACACATTCGTTTATTCTCCCTTTCCTTTCAGTGTCTTCTATAAGACATATAATTTCCATTTAATGTATAAAAGAAAATAAATTGGGAATAATAAACACAGTAGATTTTCAACTTTCGTGATAAACTAATATAGAAAATAAAAAAAGTTATGTACACACAGAAATAGAGCAAATAATAGAACAAAAGAATTTAACTAAACAGTAGGTACCTGTATAGTTATTACCTATACATTCAAGGTAAAATATAATCTGCATAAATAATAACTACCTATTTTAAGACTTCATGGGCTCATATCATTATTTATATATTATATTATGTACCAAGTACGAGTACAACTATACAAATTCGATAACTTTATTATTTTTAATGGTTATAAGCACTTATTTACTGTTTGTATGTTAATTGTTAAGTGTTAAAGTGTTAACGTCAAACCAATGTTAAATATTCGATTTAGAAATTTAGTGTGTTTGTTCAAATATGCAGTTATGGTAATTATCATAACCTTAGGCTTAATAAATTAAATTCAACATGTTTTTTTTTTAAATCAAATTTATTTTTATTATATTTTGCTGGTTTGCAGTTATTGTATACAAACGTATAACTGAGAGCCGACCGAGAGAAAAACGATTTATGAAAGCGTCGTCAAAACATTGATATTATTATTATTATTATTACTATTATTGCAAAACAGAAAAAAAATTAAATAAACAAACATAAACCACATTATACACGACACGATACCTAACCTACGTATAATAGAGTGTGTTTATGTTATTATTTATTGAGCACAGTCGACACTCGACGCAGTAAAGAAAATGTAAGGTCTAGCAATGTGTTCAAAAAACGTGGAATATTGTAAACTTATATGTGGTAATATTTTACTTATTATAATAAATATTTTATAAATTTATAAATTAAAATATTTTATCACGTTAACGCTGGAAAGTGAACACTATAAACGTACAAATTTTTTGTTTACATAATTAACTAAAACCGTCACACTTTAAAGCATTAAACACTTAAGAACATTTCAAGTTAGTCATCTATGTAGTAGATTACTCGGTAATTGTCTACCAATTTATAATATTTATTATAGGTATGTATTATACAAAAACTGCTCAAATTCCTAAGCTAGTTGAATAGTCGTTTTAAGGGGCGTTTACTAAAAAACAGTCAAGTGGAAATTATCACATACCATTGATGATTGATCTACTTTCTGATGATATTACCGGATGCTATTTCGTATATTGATGTACGAAGGACCCTCAAGGTTATTCCAACAGTAGCGAAAGCGATAATCTACTTTTCTTTTTATTTACTAAAAACGTCGTTGTCTTGCGTTTCGTTTTCAAGTAAAATTAAAAGAAAGTCAAGAAAACATACTATAGTAATTATATTCTCAAATTATAGCAAATTA